CGTCTCAAAAAGTCACCATTTAAAGATCGAAATTTTCCACTTCTTCAACCGTCAGCATTGCCGAAGACACAATTTCCTACGCAGCGAGTATAACAGTGTCCTATGCGCCGCTGTTACACTACGCGCACTGAACTATAGACACCACGCGATACGCACTTGACGAGCAAACGTTCAGGGTCAAGAACGCGTGATAAGGATTCTTATGCGCTGATTGGTCATCCTCTAGCCTATGATGTCTCTCGACGACACGTAACCCCGATAGTTGGAACGACCTGTCGCTTTTGCCGTTCTCTGTGCCCAGCGTACATAGCGCTCCATTTTTAGGGAACAAGAGCAATTCTTTCTATCGAATAGCATTTGTGTCCCATGGTAACCAGTCGTGTAGCCTGACTAGACCAGTTTTTTTCCCGCCTGAAGACATATCGAAATTTCCCTCGGAATTTTACGAGTTTAAGTGCACCCTGTATGTCACAGATTGGACTTGCTGTAGTCTGGAAACTAGTAAGTAGCAGACTATAGAATCACTGATTTAATATAGTCAGATTAATGTCTCCGTGGGACGGTGTCGAACAGCAGCCATCGCAGATACCTACCAAGTGCGCTGGCGCCTAAGTTACTCGGGCGTAGTTTCTGGTGGCATGAAATCTGATGTTGGGGTATTTCTGAAAAGCAGTCTGAAGAGTACAATATTTGTGTTTATTGTTGGTCCTCAGATAGGGCTTTGTTAAGCTAAAACACAACATGAGTATGCCAGGTGGCGTCCCACTTACTACCAAAGAGGTTTCCGACTCCGAAATGAAAGTTCTCTTCTTGACTCAATCATTCCGTATGGACCGCTGGCTACCTAGAGCTGCAGTGCAGTATAATCTTTTCGAAGCCTCACAATGAAAGTGGCGTTCAACAATCCTTTCAATAAAATTCGCCTTTGTCCAGAATGCAGTAAATGTTGACTTCTAAACAACGGACAACGTGAGCGAGCCCCAGGTGTTCCGCACCTCGTGCGCCGCTGTGCGGCTGCTGGTTGGGCTCGAGAAAGAACCCGTAAGGCACAACGGAACGAATGACTTCCGAAATAAGCATCGGTGAGCGCCCCCTACCATTGTACATTCTTCATCGAAACCGACAGAGCAACGGGCTCGTGGCCCAGCGGTCAGAGGCGTGGACTTCTTACTAACAGGTCGCGACTTCGAGCCGCAGGTGTTCCACACTTCGGGGTTGGGTATGACTGGCTGACGACGGATAATAAGCCAGGAATGGCCATTCCAGTCTCCCATGTCTTTGTCGGTAATGCCATTCTGCCTATATCATGCGCCACTATGCGGCTGCTGGATGGGCTCGAGAAAGAGCCCGTAAGGCACAACGGAAGGAGTGAGATCCGTAAAAACGATCGGCGAGCGCCCTCTTTCAGTGTGGCCACCTGTATCTATCTCTGGTACTCCAGGTTAACTGTAACATCCTGTGAGTTGTCTAGTTGCAGACGTCAAACTGATCGTACGTCCTGTGCGCTGCATCACGATGCCTATGACGCTGCAGTGTTGGCAGTGTCCCTGCAAAAATGCAGCTTTCTCAATCCCCGATAAACACGAACACATCAGACATGGGCCTGAAAACTATTCTGTTCAAATGATGATCGCGCCGGACTTCACCACCGGATATATCTTTCCGATCGTCGGAGGCATAAAATTCTTCTGTCTCTGAATTCCGGGAACTCTAGATCACGTAGTTTACTGTCCAACGGATGAAATCGGAAAGAAGGCAATCACTGGATTCAACAGGCAACGACAGCCTTCTTCAGACTCGTCTAAAAGCACTGTAATCTGGGTGAATTTTATCGACGACCACGCCGTGGGTACACACACCTTCAATCATCTACACCGTATCCACTCGCGAATAGAGAGATATATATATGTGAGAAGAAGAGGCGATCTCGGGAACCATGATTGTATTGTCCTGACGTTTCAAAAGCAGACAAGCTTTCATCGTCGGAGGTGAGTATCGTACGGCATCACACGGTATTTATAGGAGGGGGATAGATATCAGTCATGCTAACACGGTGGTACTTATAGGGGGAGGGGGTGGTTAATCGGCTTTGGCGCTAATGGCCCGCATAGGCACAGGGATCGTCTCTGTAGTCGCCGGGGCAGAGCGGGAGGGAGGGTGACTGCTGTCAATCTGCCTGTCTCTCGTCTAAGGGCGGCATTTGAACGTTGGTGGCCATCGCCCGCATTCGCGTTGGCCTTAATTGTCGTGCTGGGTTGCTAGTCTTGATTGCATCCCTCTGACCGCGTTTCTCCCCGTCTGCCGGAGTAGTAGTTGAGGCAACAGTATTGATGACTGCGCCTTCGTCGGGCCCGATTTGCGGTGTGGCTACGTGTAGGTCCGTCGTAGGCTCTCCCGTGTTTGGATCCACGTCCGACCTGACCCCGCGCTTGCTCTTTAGTTCGTTGAGCTGCGTCCGGAGGGCTTGGTATGCTGTCGGGAGGGCGACACAACGGTTTATGGAGGTTGTTTCCGTGTGCCAGGCCTCGATCGTTTCCCTGGCTATGCGGTCATTGCCTCGACCCAGAATTTTGACGTTCTGGAAGGCAAAAGTGTGTCCAGAGTCCGCGCAGTGTTCCGCCACCAGAGACAATGAGTCCATTCTCCTCACTGCCCGCATGTGTTCGTTAACGCGAGTTTGTAACCGTTTGCCTGTCTCTCCGACGTAGTTTGCTTGNCGGCATTGTTTAAATTTTGACTGTTTCTTCACACTTATTACACGTCTGAAGACGAGCTGGGGAACCAGACTCGAAAATTTACGAAATAAAGTTTGTTCATTTTCCCAAAGGACTCATTCTTCTTCGAAATATGTATATATGTTGGAAGGTAGGCATCCCAAGAAATATAAGTCGAAGTCGAATGTGTGCTTTGGGAAAGGAAATTTACTGTGCAAATTTTCGACGCCGGTTCCCCGAGTCGTCGTCAGGCACAGACGGAAAGCAAATGCGCCAACTCAGCTAACATCTTAAGTGCACGTAAAAAAATCTCTAATCGCCTGACGCTCACGCCAGTAAGCGGCCGTCGTGTTTGTCAGTCCGTTCTGATTGGTCCCCGCCTCTTCCACCTCTCCAGCACATGGTGTGTCTGCCTAAAAGCGGATTCCTCGTCTTGCTCGAAGCTTGTCTTGTTATATGAGTACCAGCTTTAAATGGCAAGGCCGCCAAAACTTCTACCGACGAGGTTAGCCTGCCACCTCCCCAGTCTGGATCGATAGTAGGCTACAAATTATCCGCAATGGTGGAAAGCGACTGTTCGCATGTTTCACGTCAGGTGAACATTTAAGATCCCCGACAAACTGGTCTTGTCAAAAGAAAAGGAGTCGTTCACCGGGAGAGGTGTGTTGGAGGTCTGACGTTTCGATTAGTCGTTTCTCCTACCCATCTTCAGCAACTGAGAAGTTATGCACACAGCTTTCCTTATATGAAGGCAACTGGTCGCGATTTCGTGACCTGGTCTTAGTGTCTTCGATACACGTTGGCTGCCGCCATAAAAACTCACACTCCTGCCACCCGCCCACCTCAGTAACGCTGATTTGTTGCGGCCGCTGTTCCTCCTTGCACAGATGCACTGACGGTTTTCGATCTGAGCCGCCATGCAGACTCACGCCGAAGTATTGTGCGTCTTCTCTGTCATGCCGGTCGACCTGAATACATGCGAGTTCGTGATAGTATCAGATGAGGCTTTTCGCCAGATACTCCTATTTTTCCCCATTGCAGACTCAGCTATTTAACAGCACTGTAGTTATTGTGAACATATTCAGTTGACTACTGATCTCTGAGCTCCACAAAAGTTCTCCGTGGACGCCTCCCTCTCTCTTATATGCCATGCGTAATTTTCATTTTCGCTACTATTTCTGCCCAAAGGTAGAACTTAGCTGCGATCTCGCCAATCTACGGCTCTGCAACCAAAACAAAGGCGCAACTTGTCAGCCCCGATGGATCAACGCTTCTGTCGCAGATTCTGAGGTGCTGGGTCGAGCACTTCAGAAACGTCCTCGTCCTCAACCGTCCCTCTACAATCTCCAACGCCGCCATCGACCGGCTACCCCAAGTGGAAATCGACGTCGACCAGCATCTCTCGCCCTTCCTCTCAGAAACCATCCTCGCCGTGGAACAACCCTCCAGCGGAAAAGCATCCGGATCCAAAGTAATCCCAGCCGAAATCTACAAGCACGGCACCCACCGACTGATGGACTAACTCACGGCACTATTTCAGGGGATGATGCGCTGTGGACAAGTTACTCGGGAATTCAAGGACGCGAACATCTTTCACCTCTACAAGCTGAAAGGCAGCCGAAAACTCTGTGACAATCACAGAGGCATCTCGCTACTCAACATCGCCGGGAAGAACTTCGCCCCTATCCTCCTCAATCGCCTCACCAGACACCTCGAGCAAGGACTTCTGCCGGAAAGCCAATGTGGATTCTGGCCGGCCGCCAGTTATAAGAGAAGTTCCAGGACATGTGGACTCACCTCTACACCCCCCCCGTCGTGGATCTGATGAGAGCCTTTGACACAGTGAGTCGTGAAGAGCTGTGGCGTATCAAGCAGAAGTTCGACTGTCCCGAGCGATTCACGCACATTGTACGCCAGTCCCATGATGGAATGATGGAGCGTGTCACGGACAACGGTGCCACCTCCGAGGTATTCGCAGTGACCAATGGAGTGAAGTAGGGCTACGTCCTCACGCCTACCCTCCTCGGTCCCGTGTTCTCTGCCACGCTGATGGACGCCTGCCTTGATGAGTGCCCTGGGACACACATCGCCTATAGGATTGACAAGCAGATTCTCAATAGCAGGGACATGCAAACTCGAACGCGGCTCTCTACGACCACGGTCCACGATCTGCTCTTCGCCGACGACTGCGCACTCAACTCCACGACCGAATAAAACATACAATGAAGCGTGGACCTCCTCACCACTGGGTTCACCAACTGCGACCTTTCTATAAATACGGAGGAGATGGTGGTCGTGCATCTGCCGCCACCGCCCGCTAAATACAACTCCTCTCGGATCACTGTCAATGGGAACGAACTCAAAACCGTGGAAAACTTCGCACACTCGCGCAGCGCAAGAGCAGACGACGAGATTGTCCATCGACTCTCCAAAGTCAGCCAAGCCTTCGACCGGCTGCAGGACTCCGTGTGGAATAGCCACGGCCTGCTCCTGACCATCGAACTGAAGATCTACAAGGCCGTTGTCTTGCCGACACTTCTGTACGGAGCAGAAACAAGGACCGTCCACTCAAGCTACGTCCGGAGCCTCAACCCTTTCTATCTCAGCTGCCTTCGCAGGATACTGCGGTTGAGTTGGCAGGACAAGTTTCCGGACACGGAAGTCCTGGAACGGACCGGAATCCTCAGCATCCACGACAACTGAAATTTCGATGGAACCGCCATCTGGTGCGAATGGACGACGCTTGCCTATCAAAACAACTCTTCCGCAACCGATGCACGTCGGCCCGGAGGACCCAAACGACGCTATAAGGAAACATTGAAGAATTCTCTTGGGCGACTGTACATAAATCCAGACCTGGGAGGACCTGGCTCAGAACAGACCGGCTTGGAGAAGAGGAGTAAAGACTGGCGCGACCATCTGAGAAGCAAATCATATCACCGCTGCAAAAGCCAAGAAGGCTGTTCGCGAGTCTCAGGCGCCTCCGAGTCCCAACGTCCCCACTCAACCCCACCCAAAGCGCCCGCACTGTCGTCGAACATTTCGCGTGCACGTCGATCTCGTCAGTCATCTTTGGACCCAATGTATCAACCACTCGACGACTGCAATCGCTGCCTCTACGACCCCAATTGCTAGAACCTCCACGTCAACCACGTCGGTGCTCCCACTTATTAAAGTTTCTTCGCATCCACCTGTCACACTGCCGTTGGCCACTACCACCTCCACTATCTCAGCCACAACTACCACGACAACAACGAACGCAGCCACATCCTACATCGACCAAATCTCTCCTACCGCCCCAACAACCATCAACCCATTCATCATCACTACCCCCATCTCCAGCGATGTGGGCTCGGTCCCACCGATTGGCCGAAGTTGGACGAGGCCTCGGGCGGATGCAGTTGGGCTGGCACTTGCCTGGTGAGATCGCTTACGCCAACTGCTTGCTGAGCCTCTTGTACGCTCTTTTGTCTCAGTAACAGCCCCTCCAACCCAATCTCACAGTCTGGGGCGACTGATTTGCGAACCCTCGAGTCCGCGCCCATCCCGACACTGTCAGTCCCAGCGGAATAACTACGTGACACACACACACACTAGTCAGACCGCCGCTACATGTCTGCCGGAGCATTACGTTGGACCCGATAGAGGCAAGTTCAAATGCACCTATCGACTCTGAAGCCGAATCAGAAAGTGCTCACCCACGCTTCAAGTTTGCGCGCTAACCTGTAAGAGAGTCACACACCTCTGACACTGAAAACTGACGTGCGCATAGTTCGTTAAAAGTGTAGAAGCAGTTTGAGCACCCATTGACGAGAGTCAAACAGCTTGCGTCATTCAGTAGCAGCAAATAGGCGAAACACCTGCACGGGCCTTCAGTCGACGCCCCTGCTGAGAGTGCGGCTAAGTAATTTACTGCGTGCGAATTAGACAGTCGCTAATAGTACAACTACCGCCGCAACGCAAGTACTCCGCCGAGAATTAATTCAGTCCAACGTTGGGGCTGAGTCTCAAAAGGCTGGGGGCCCGAGTAATCTACTCAAACTTGACAGATTTTCCAACCTTCAAGCAAGTACCAGAGTGGAGCCAGTGCCTAGAGAAGTTTTTTTTGTCGTCACTCGCATCTCTGTCAGTGGCAGACGGAAGGCCCTTCTCCAGCACCACCCACTCTGCACTTGTCAGTACCCTGAAAACTTTGATTGGTGCAAACGCTAGGACTCATGGCTTTCAGCGTGTCATGTCTCGGAGCAAGTGTTGCCCCTTTGATGATGACAGTCATTTCTTCCATCTGACCGGCAGTGACAACAAGTGTTCGGCCTCAGTTGGCAGTTCTCTCTAGCTTCAGCAGTCTTAACATTGAAGAAGGCCACAGAGTAAAGGGGGGAGGGGGATAACTGCACACAATCTCACCCTTTGTCTGACTCACACACGCCATTTGCCCACAGTTAAATAATAGACCGACCCACAAATACAGAGACGATCAATTCTGCCTGCCAGCCAACCGAGCCCGGACCCCAGGCAGGGAGAGCCCGAGGTCTGAACCAGTTTCCAGTTCACAAATCGTTGAAGTGCTCTGCTGGTGGGACCAAAGGCCTATGCGCGGAATACAGACCATGTTCAGGGTCATACGAGAGTGGTATTCACTGATCTGATAATGGGACGAATGAGAGGCGCTACGTTTTGCGCCCGCGGATTCTGCCTAGAGCTCTCGTGGGTGATCGTACATTCATGATAGGACACCGAGGAGTTAAGCTGATAAAAAACAGGACAAACTAGAATATCGACCCCCTAGTTACGCGTCGTCATCAGGTCTTCCCGACTGTGGAGACGTGGCATGTCTGTCGGACATCATCAAATACTTAGGAAATGAGCACGCTAGCTATGCAGGTCCTTGCCCACAAACTGTTACACTACTGACTGAATTCAAATAAGTGGGCGCCTGTTATGAGTTCGGAAAGAGGTCGAGGGCGAGAAAAGACCTTGTTTTGTTCTATGGTTCGATCCGACCACCATGCTACCCCCTCCCTTCACGTGGTCTGCAGTGGCGTAACTAGTTGGCGGTAGCCGCCTACGCACTAGAAACATTGAGAAGTGTGGACCGATAAAGACGGAGTATTGCGGGATGTTGGCGGCAAATAAGTCAGAAACGACCATTTCAGCCTTGCCCGTCGTTGTCCGTGGGCTCTTCTTAAACACTGACTACCAGTCACCACGTGACCACCAAGGCGGAGAGCTGGAGACTCTCAACCGCCAGGCGAGGCGGCAGCGCTCATTGTGGTGGCCTGCTGATGAATGAATCGCGTGAGCCGCGATTTGTTTGAGTCACGGTTCACGGGACCTCAGTCTATCAACAGGTGCAATGACATCCCCACTCCGTATTCCGTGCTGGGGCATAGACTGGCCAAAGTAATCGACTCAGGGAGCGCGCAAGCCGATGAGCTACATGACCGAGCAATCATCGCGCCAGCATCCAACACGGATAACGAGATTTCAGCAATTAGCAACTTGCGTGCCGGCCATCAAGCAATTAGCGCACCAGCGGGCAACAAACCTTGGTGAAGGGGAGCGTGGTTGATTGCTGTAGGTATGCGGCAGAATAGCGACAGCGTCCTATAAATACGGCAACTTCCTGTGCACGAATCACCCGTTTCTGCCACTGTCCCTGATGATGGGTTTAAGTGAGGGTCCAAAACGTCAGACGAATAAAGCCCTTATTCCAGTGATCGCTCCTTCCCTGGACAAACTAGTTCCTGGAACTCGCATCTTCGTTTGTATCGGCAATGCCTACCATGTTTACCGTAAATGTGCGCAAAGTCAAGTATTCACAATATCTCTTTTATAGAAAACAGGGAGCAGACACAGTGATCTCTGGTGTAAGTAAAATTTTGAGAAAAACAAAATCAAAATCTGCTTTGTTTAATAGGGGCGCGAGGGAAAAGAAGTTTCTGGCCATAGAAAATAGGGGCAGGAGGGGGGGGGGGGGAAATTAAAGTAAGGAGAAAATCAGGTCACGGCGACGTAACAGCCGGCAACGAAGAAGTGGCCGCACTGATGTTGTCATGCGAGCAGGCGCCTGGGATCTGTCAAAGGGACACACATAGGCAGGAGATGGAACAACCTTTCAACCGTCTAGCTTTGGTTAAAAAAAAGTTTTAAAAAAGTACTGTCTGGCCCACTGTTGACTAGCGATTGACGTAGTACAATTGGTAGACGCTGAAAACCCTGCCTTTGCGTTGAAATGCATAGAAACTATGCACACACACACACACACGCGAGAGAGACAGAAAAGGAGATGTACAGTAGGTGGGCTAACTCACGGACTGTCAAGCGAAATTCCGAAATGCGTTTTCGTTTCGAAAAAGATTAATCAAGTGGGGCTGTAGAACTAAGCCTTATGCAGCTTAATGCCCTAATAATTCAGTTACCTCAGGAAGTCGGCTTTCGAACGAACCACTTTCCGACTGGATGCGAAAACTAGACCCTGTGAAAAATGACTACTTATGTAGCATACATTTTTCTCATTGATTTTCGATGCACTTGTAAATTAAATTACATTTCATGGAATGCATGCATAAAAATATTCATTTTTGTTCATTCGGTAGAAAGTAACGTCTTCTTCCAATTTTATACTCGAATGAAGGGTATAATTCGGTTTTAAAAAGTTTCCAATTGCGATATTTTGTAATACCGTGAAATGGACGTTCATAAAATGTCATGTCTCTGCATTCACCAATGTGGCTTGTAAACTTAGCAATATGGCTCAAATTCACTGGTAAATTTTATGAACCCCATACAGTCTGCTCTTAACACCGTAGAGAAATGCATGAGTTTCCGTACACGGAAAATATACGGCTTGTAGTTTGGAAACCCTGAATATAAATGTAACGGCAGGTCGGGGTTCAAAACTTTTTGGGAAATGGATAAGTCTTTGAAAACCGAATTATACCCTTACTTTGGGTATGAAATTAAACGACGTAATTTTCTACGAAAGGAGTGAAAGATGAATATTTTTGTGCATGCTTTCCACAAAATATAATTAAATTTATAAGGGCATCGAAAATCAATGTGAAAATGCATGCTTATTAACTAGTCATTTTTTACAGAGTATAGTTTTTGCATGTGGTCGGAAAGAAGTTTGTTTGAAAGCCGACATCTTGATGTAACCGATTTTTTATAGATTTATGCTGCACGATGATTAGTTTTACAGCCCTACTTAACTAATCTTTTCGAAACGAAAACGCATTTCGGGATTTCGGTTGACATTTCACGGGTTAGCCCACCTACTGTACCATCTAAGCACACCCCAAACCCCCATATAACTACCCCAGCCATCTGTAACTGCTGACTCCGCCCCACCGTCTTCGACTGGCTGAGAAAACGGGCAATGCTCCAAATCCTAGTTATTCTTTTTTTACCCATTTGAGAGAAAATTAAGTCTTTTTCCAATTTTATACTCGAAGAAAGGGAAAAATTCGGTTTTAAAAAAGTTTCCAATTTTGAGATTTTTAATATCGCGAGATGGCCATTCATAAAACGTCATGTCTCTGCATTTACCAACGTGGCTTGCAAAGTTAACGATATGGCTCAAATCCACTGCTACATTTAATGAACCCCACATGGTCTCCTCTCAAAACCGTAGAGAAACGTATGGATTTCCGAACGCAAAAATATACAGCTTGTAGTTCGGAAAACCTGGATGCAAGCGT